CAAGTGGCCAAGGGCTCTGAAGGGCTTTGCAGGCCCACAGCTGAGCACCGGTGGGTTGGGCTCTATGAGACCATATCCTTCAACATGGCCCTGACCCACTGAACTAGTGAGCAAACTGCGTCCTCCTCACAAACTCCTCACAAGTTTTTGAAACATAAACAACACAGATTCTGTACAAAATCTTTAAATTTGTTTTCTCTGATTCCTCTTCAGTCCATTATGGTGTTTTGGACTACTGTTATCAGTAATAGTGTGATGATATAAATGTCTATTTGTTCACAGTTTTATAAACACCACGTCACAGAGAAGGCTGTTATGGATGTGACATTAAAATGAATCGAAAATGAACAAAAGAGGAAACACAAACGATAGGCGTGCTGGGTTACGCTATGAAAAGGAAATCTATTTACACACAATCTATACAACATCAGAGTCTGTACATTTTGTAGAAAATCATCACATTCATTTACATCATCTTGAATTTTTGCTCTATTTGGCAGATTAAAAGTTATCAATAAAGAGAATAAGAGAATTTTGAACTAATATTCATATTAATGCTCCAGAAAAAAAAAATGCAACATATAATAAACTTACATTGGGAAATAAAGCAGTTTGGGGCATTTGGGTCACTGGCTTAGCTGACAACAGAAGTGTCAGTGCTTTTGAAGTGATTCCATAACATTTGCAAAGGCAAAACCAGGTTCAGCGCCGACCTGCCAACCCTCCCACTGCCCACACCTTTCTGCTGTTGTCCTGATCTGCTCCTCATTAACACACATGGCAAAATCCATGACTATTTCAACAGTCTTCTGTTAACAAGCAAAATAGCACTGGGTCATGTCAGGGTACTCCTGACAACCCAAATTTTATATAGGCACTCATGGTAATGTAAAGGTATGCACAAAAAGCAGTGATGCTCTTTGCCGCATGACTGTGCACAGACATAAATGACTCCAGCAACACCCCGTGCACCCACGGGAGCTTTGGCTGCACATTGCTCGGCAGTTCTACTTTTCTTATCAAACATACTTAGTTTTCATTGGAGATTGGAGAAAAAAATCCATATAAAGTGAATTTAATACAAAAAAAAATACATTTTTAATATAATAAAGATAGGAAAGAAATAATGGAAATTATCTCAGTCCCTAAGCTTAGAGACACTTGCACTCAGAAATGCCTTATTTCATTAGCAGTCCTGGACTGCCTCATTTGCTGATGCTTCGTGGCCACTGCAGGGCTGTGTGCAGCACCCATCACCGTGTCGTCAGGGTGAAATGTGCACCCCAGCTTTGCATGGAGTCCTTACTGACATGCAGTTCAAATTCCTAATATTTCTTAAACACAGGCACTGCTTTCAAGGGCTAAAATGATGTTCCCCACTTTGCTAAGGCTTTTTTTACCAAGGAAATGAGAGTCTAGACACCTAGGCCAACTTAAAAGATTTGAGTTCAGATGGCATAAAAAATGCCGTTAACAATCTCGCTGTGTGTCATTTGCCAGTTGCTGGTCAGTAGTTAAGGTGACCAGGTGATCTGCAGGCAGCGTGAGATCCGCAGCAGACGGCGTTTGCCAAGGGAGGTGCTGGAGTTCTCGAAGTGATGACAAACACAGAGGGCACAGGAGGGAATTGTGAAAAATATTTCAGAAAATGCCTTGCAGTTAGAGTATTATAAAGTTGGCATCTTTAATTTCTCAGGGAGGGAATCAAGATGTGACTTTCAACAGCAGGAGACTTGGTATAAGGAAAATGTCTCATACAGAGAAGCACTTTAGTAGATGTTTCTTTAGTAGATCCTTTTATAAAAGACAAAAAAGATCTAACACCCAAATCAAAGCAAGAAACAAATGCAGAAAGCTGAATCCACATAAATTCAACAAGCACCTGGGCCTACCTGGAAGGCATGGGACACTCCACCAAAAACTTCACTGCCTGTGTTTTAAATTACCCTGCATGTTTTGCTGCAGGCTAAGTTTGACCAGTCCAAATTATTTGGCTTAAAAATGGGTATCTGGTCATCAACTATCAGGCAGAAAATCTAATGGTCTTCTCTAGACATAAAATCTATAGGAGAGATTAATCTTACCTAATTTTAGATAGAAAGAAGTCTAAGTACTAGCTAGTTATCCCAGGATCACTTATAAGAAGTAGAGAAAAATAGTTTTTTAAGAGGATGATTCAGTTTACATACCTTAGAAGCCCTCTGAAAATGAGATGAATAATCTCAAACTACATCTCTATTATGACTATGGAAGGTGCATAAAAGAGCCTGTAGCTAAAAAGCAGACATCCAACTTGTAGGTGCCAATATTAGGATAAGTGAATTTGACCTGTGTTTATAAAGAATCTAGCTGAAATTGATTCTGCAGAGGAAAACTGAAGTCAAGTAACATAAAAATATATGTGTGTGTATATGTATGTATATATAGATGCCAGTCATGATTAACAGCTGGGACTAATTTGTTGTAACGCCTTCTGCAGGCACCATCAGGACGTGATGCTGATAAATCTCATTCCCAATGAAGAGGGCTGTGAGCACCTTACAACCACTGAACTTGACCCAATCACTGGGTTGTCGGTCAAAGACTTTTGCATAAATTTTAATATGATGGGTGTCTGTGTGTGCAAAGGCATCTGAAATTCAAAGAGGCCTCATGACGGTGGAGTTGATGCTGGGACTTCGCAGGACATTCTGGGGAAATCAGAATTTTCTGGCAGTAATAACTGATGAGCACCGTGCCTTCAGGGCTTTGCAAACCTGAAAACGCCTCTACAAAGCAGTAGGAAGTAAAGCTGTCTCAGAAAAAAATGCTATCTATGTTTAGATCCTATGATTTTTAATGGAGGGATAAGGCACTTTGCACTGGTTTGAAAGTAAAACATGCAGATCCTCACTTGTGTGCTTGCCCATGCAGGCACTGAAGTTGAAACTCATCTGAAAAATTAGTGATCCCAATTCTGTTCTACCACTAATGCAACTTCACTGTCTCCTATGGCACTGCTTGCTGCAAGAACAGTAGGATACTGCATGTCCAAATTTGCACTGCAAGTCCAGATGCATATTTGCCTGCTGAAGAAATCTCTGCTGTTTTGTTGCACCTTAAAATGTATTCCCTCATTTATGGTTTACTACTTTATAATGTAGAAATCATTAAAATGCAAATTTTTCCCTATACTCATCTAATTAAAGCAAAGACAGTTTTCTCTAGGATACACAATGAATTCTAAGAACGTAATTGGCGATGCATCATGCAGACCAGGCTGGTGGAACTGATTGCCTGAAAATGGTTTCTACGCCACGATTCCCTCTCTGTTTCATCTTACCTGCAGAACTGCCCTTGAACACAAAGATGAGGCTGTCTGAAGGCCTGTTGTGTGCCTTTCCACTTCTGCCTTGCAGGGGAAATGTTAAATTCTGCATTTGAAAACTACTCTCCCATATATCCAGATATGATCTAATTTTCAGGAAGTTGAGCATTCCCAATGACGTGCAAAGAAGCCTGAAGTGCACAGATATATTTAACTCAGGAATGGCAGCAACCCGTCAAAAGCTCCAATGTGTCTTTATATATTTGCAGTGAGGAGTTTGTGGTTAAGGTTCTGGGATGCAGGAGAAACACCAAAGGTCAGAAATGGTTTCTAGGTCTGAAGTGTTTAGGTATAATTAGTATAAATAAAATTCAAATATAAATGTATGGTTCTGTCTTTAGACTCCCCTGGGCAAGCTAGTTCACTCCAGTAGCTCATGGTTACTTCACCAGGGGACAGCAGAAAACACTCAGAATGACTAGAGGTCACCAATAGCCATAAAGTCAGATCTGGCAAAGTCAGAATTAAATGATTATGTTTCAACTCAAAAACCAAAATAAAACAAACAAACAAAAACCCTATTGCATAATGATAGGTGTCATGTAGTTATGTGTGTCATAGCATTATCACCTCTGTAGCATGTCTGACCATTGGGTCCTCTATTTTTGGCTTGACATAACTGTTTATGATTCTAGGGTAATCCCGTTAAAATAAATGGTGTTTGACTGATAAATAGGTGAAGTAAAACGGACCAGGAGGTGCCTGGACATTCTGACAGCTGCCAATAACATTCCTAGCCCCTGCAGTATTTTCAGGAATGTACATGTATGCTGGCCAAGGGATCCTCCTTGCTACCATGCTCCTCTGCTCCTGGAAATGTTGGGGGCCTTGGGTTCTGCTAGCTCCACACAATCTGTTATCTGAAATATTAGGGCAATTCTCTTTATGGATCCAGGGTACTCATATAAATATATATTATTCACACCTACTATTTAGAGTGGACATGGTCAGCTGTGACACGAGAAGTAAACATAACTCGATTTATTTCTTTAAAGATTGCAAATGTTCTTTGTATATTTATATGAACTTGTCAGTTCTATATCTTTTTTTTTACAAAGTGACTACACTAGAGGCTTGATGCTGCTGAAAATTCTTGCCATTTATGCCTTTTATGGTAATTTTTAGGGATTGTGTCTTTTTTTTTTTTTTTTTGCTGGACTCATGTACAGGACTAAATTTTAAAACTGCTCAGACACAAAATGGAATTAAGCTAAAATATTTACATTATTTCTTAAATGGGTGTTGTAACTTTATTGCCATATTCTCTGTTTTAACTGTCAAGGACATAGCTCTAGAGACATATTTTAATGAAAATATTATACAAAAACATTATTTCCAATGGATAATAGGCTATCCAAGCCTCTTTATCTTATGCCAGACTTTTCTAGCGATAAAGGGCCTCTTCAGAAATTGTTTAATATAAGATCAACACAAAGCTCTTGCATTTTAAACAGAGGAGCACAACTGGTGGCTACAATAGTGCTATTGGCTAATGGGGATGTTTTAATCATAACTATTGTAGTAGGCTTTCCAACATGGACTGCAAGGGTAGGACTACTTTCTGCATCGAAATCTAAAAAAAAACCCCAAACAGGCACCTTTGGGGGGACAGCAAGATAGGAATCAAGCTCTGTAGAAAGTCATCCCTGAACTGAATGAAGATTTTATACAATTAGCTAAAAAGTTCTACTTTTTTTTTCCTCTCTGTGTAAATAATATTAAGGATTTCCTGGATTACCACACTGTGGTTAATTAGAGCCTTACATTTCTTTATTATGCTTTTGTTTACCATAACTAGTGCCTATATCCTCTAAGAAAGAAATTTTACTTTAAATAAAGTGCAAGGAATTTTCTTGCTTCTCATCCAAACCTTCGTATGTACCAAACTGCTCTTCATTGATGAGGGTACCGTTCAACCCAGACAGACCGAAGAGAAAGGAACCACTAGAGTAAATTAGTTTTTAAATAGTTATGGCTAGCAAATGACAAGAGGACATTGTAATTAATTTGAATGGTATAAAAAAAGCACAAAGCATCCATGGGGCAGGTGTCTCTGTTATTACCTGGTTGGCTGCACAAACCAATTTCCCAAATATCGATATGTAGAAAAGCAAAGCACTAAACTGTACATTTTAGAAAATATCACATCAAGCCACATAATGATTGATAAATCCCCCAGTTTTTTGTTTCCCCCCTTTTTAGGGGAGCGAGCTGCTTTATATCATGGTGGTCTCCGTCTGCATAAAAGACTGAGCTCTGGAATGCCGATGGAGCTGGGAAACGCTTTCGGATCCATTCCGAGAGATGGAAGAGCTGTGGAGCCTGTAGTCCCTGCCCGCTGTCTGCCTCCAGCACAGACTGCGCCACTTCCTCTTGAGCTCCCCTTGCACCTGGCCGCACAAGAAAACACATGTGAGCTGAGAACACGTCCTTCTCACGCGAGCGATGCGCCCACATTTACTGGCTGTCAAGAGGGGACCTCTGGGAATGTCTTCTAACCAGTTTCTACAAAGATTATAAAATTGCGGCTAAGGCAGTGTCTGCAGTGCGTTAGGAGAAACCCCAAGGCCACCCTGAAAACCAGGTTTGAAGCACTTGCACTGGAACAGAGCTCTTGGTGGGTAGCTACTAATCATATGTATTTGAAGCATAGAACGAAATGATTAGGCCAAGATCAGGCATCCCACAGATATCAAAGACCAGAAGAGCACTCCGAAGACCTGGCCTCAATTCCCTGAGATGTCTCTTCCTCATCCCTGACATATTTTCTTCAGGCAGATGCCTTCTGCCTGACACTGTATAATGTTTAAAGTATATTCTGCTTTAAAAATTGCCTGACATCAAGAGGAAATCCTTTCTTTTCCCTCCTTTGTGATTAGGAAAGGTGCTACATGCTGAACTCTTCTGAGAATCTGCTGCTGTTCTGGGGTGAGATTCAGCCAGAATATTACTCCTAAATACTTACAAAATCATGTTTACAGCCTTCGATAAATTCCTAGACCTGTTGCACCTCAGTTGCATAATTCATTTAAGAGTGCTAGAATTAGAGCATATTCAATAACAGAAGACACATTTACTGACATGCCCTCAGTTTGCTAGGATTTAGATTTCATTTAGCTCTTCACTCTCCACCCAAATACACTGATTTCTCCTATTTCATGACACTACAACATATATTTTCTGTGAACTGGAATGCAAACAATTTCTGATATTTAACAGTGGAAATAGAGGAGAAATTATTTATTGAAAACAAAAGTTACATCCTCAGTAGGAAGTGGGGAGACTTACTTCACTGTTCAAAAAGCAATACAGGACTGCAACAATCAACCCCTGCAAACATAATATTCATTAATTAGTACACAGTAGTACTAATAGTACCTAGTCAGTAAAACTTTTTTTTTTGAAGAGAAGCTTTAATAGTTACCTGAAAAGATCCCAAACACAACTCAAAAATTATTTTATAGTTATTGGAACTGCGATCAGGGAATAGAGCAAACACTGTGTAATGAACTCCAAATAATGGAATAAGCAACAACGTGGATTTTGCAAGTCTCCTAAGTAAATAAAAGAGAAAAAAAGATGGATTTTAACACTAAGCTCTTTTTATTAAGATGCAGTGTTGTCTAGATAAATCCACACTACAATTTATAAACAATTATTTTAAGAGTCATTTGTACATATTGAAAATTGTTTTCCTTTCAAGTTTGCTACAAGAACAGCCACACAGCAGCCCCACAAGTCAATGTGTGTTATTCCATTGGCCTTGCTGACCTAGCCCACTCTCAAACCTGGTAAAAAGCTGTAGGACCTCTCTAAATCATAAATTCTGGGCATGCACACGGCATTGTGCTCTGCTACATGCCTTTGACACAAGTCAGGTCCCTCCCGCTTTCATGTCACACATTTTGGGGGCGGGGAGGCTAGTTGTGACATTCCACAGGGCCATGGTCTACAAAGCATTGCTAGCTGCCATCAGATCGAGGATACTTTTGAAGGACAAAGGACATAGAGCAGAAAGGAGCATTCCCTTCCTACAAAACCATTCAGCAGTTCCTTTTTTAGATAAGATACAATCTATGTCTGGAAGTTATTAGACCAGTGTTCATGTCCTCAAGAGCTGCAAGTATGTGGTTAGCCTGCGCATTTAATATAGATGGAGCGTAAACAATATCTAGGTCATGCCATCAATAATAATATCAACTATGAGATTTTCATCAGCTATTTTAGGTTTACTGACAAACCAAAAAAACTCATTAACCATAGTGGTGGCATTAAGCACATAACCTTAATTAATTTGAAATTTCATTAATTATGAAATACAATTTAGCACAAGTTAAGGAAAAGATAACTTTAAATTATTAAGCAGAACAGTTTTGACAAACTGCCTGTGAAACGACTGAAAAGATGAATTGCTAATTATCCCTTATCTGTCACTCATTTCACTTTAATAACATCAGCTTTATACATTGTACAGAGCCAGTCATGCATGATTATAGAGGTCTGGTATCAAAAAATATTCAAGAAGCTCTTGTGTCGAGTCCCACAATTTATCACTGTCTTGAGGAATATAACTTGATTCAACAATGAAAGGAAGCTGTTTTAAAGCAGTCTATTTTAACCCCAAAATCAAGGTATTTCAAACTATTTTATTTTTTTCTGTGCCCTCCCTTTCCTCACAATGTCTCAGAGACTGCATCTGCTTATGCGGAAATAAATCATTTCTGACAGCAAAGTTTCTAAACAATAATAAAACCCTAAAGGTGATATCAGTAAGTGAGAGAAATAGGGTTTATTTGGCAAAAGAAATTCACTGTATGAATTTACATCTGGAGAAGATCATGATGGCAGCAAATATCCTGGTTTCCCAAGTGAAGTAGAAAATTGATTTTTTTTTCAGTTTAACCTTGCCCAGTGCAAAAGTAAAACAAAGAACAAGTGTGGAACCAAATGCAGGTAGATGGGAGAGAGGAAGAAAAGAAAAATAGTGATATGCATGAGCACTATTTATTTTAGTCTTTTATTTCACTTCCTGTTTTAACAAGTTTGACTAGCTAAGGTTACTTGCACTATACTTCACTTACCATTTTAATCAAGGAAAGATCCACACAAAAATAGCTAACTTTTTTTTAACCTTTTTTTTTTTTTTTGAGACCTTTAATTTGCTCTGCACAAGCAGTATTTTTGGGGAAGATTAATCTACTGTTCCTATGGATATCCACTAAACATCATCCAATCCAAACTTCATTAGACAATCAAATGCTAAAACAAATAGAGTGCTGAACAGTGAAGAACATGTTTGCCAAAAATATGAACTCTGGAGAATGATGGATCAGATATGAAGGGAATGCCTCGTTTTGATTAAATACATAAATATCAGAGAAAAACGATTCAGCCACAAGAGGTAACTTCCGCAGATTTCCTGCTCATATGTCAGATATTATGCCAAATACTAAGGTGGTAAGTGCACAGTTTCATCCGGGTTCCTTTAGCTTTTCTACATATTCAATTAATTCAAAGAGCAAACACAGGAGAAACGATGCATCTCTCTGCAGCCCAGCCCCACGCCAATCTGGCAGCACCTTCTTTTCACTGATGCATCAAAATTCTTCACTTTTTGATTATACACCAAATAATGTGTCAATGCATTAGAATGGGACTAGGAAAGGGAAGTGTGTTACTCCCTTCTGTATTAGACCGTGTCTACAACTGGGCTCTAAAAATATGTAGTGCAACAAAGATTTGATTCCAGACTGCAGTAGGAAGAAGCTATTACAATAAATGGCAATAAGTGACATGATAATATAATAAGGAACAAATTGAGTTTGAGAAAAGTGTTTAAATTCCAGGCCCTCAACATTCACTGATGATGAAGTTTTGCATATAATGGATATTGATTTAATGATCAAGCAAAGAAAAGGTCAAAAAAGGAAAGCTTAATTAGATAACACATGATCTAAATGTGGAACTCTAGCTTGTTGATCTTCATTAAAATTTCACTAGATTTGACAAAATTTATGCTCATCTCTATTTCAGCCTTTTTTTTTTTTATTAAAACACATCTAAAAATAGATGTTTGGAACTAAATGTAATTACAGTTTCATACCAATTGTTGGCAGCAGGCTTCAGCAGAGTAAATCTTGTAGAAATTATTTCGGTTCTGTACATAATATCTAAAAATACAACTCACTTGTACTGTGATTGGTCATTTCCTCCAACATCAGGAGATCTTAATTTCTGCAGTAAGATTCTTATAATACTAATGAAAAGTATAAAATTCACCTGCAAAAAGATAAAAAAAGAATAGTGATTTCTGACTTCTCAACTCAATATGCAACACAAGGAAATGTTAATTAAGTCAGACTAATCAACTTAACAGTGAGTTTTGTGTACTTGCAAGAACACATTAAGCTTTACACTGTCAAACTTACTGTCTGCTTTCCACTTCACTAACAGTTGCATCCAGAGCACCTCTGCCTGGCCCCAAGTGGAAGTCCTAATTTTCAGCAATCCCTATTTCCTAAGTCTTAGTTGCAGATGGGATTCCTGTCATGTAGTTATATTGGCCAAGAACTCGTGCACCGTACTGACTTCTCAGGTGGATTCACCACTGCACTCCCAAAGGATAATGTAAATTGGACCATTTCCATTATTTCAGTATTTTCTCTCTGGATTAGAAGACAGAAGTTTGTCTCACAGGTGATCTGACCATTCCCATCAAGCTTGGAGAGGGCTTTCACATGCATCCGCCTGTGTCTCAGGCAGATTATTAGCTCTGTGCCATTTCAATCCTGGCAATCTAACACTTCATTAGCAGTGTTAGCAGAAGACTAGCAATCTTCTGAACTAGAGCAATGCTACTATTAGCTTATTTCAGAGACAGGGTTTGGAGGCATTTGGGTAAACATGGCATAAAGTTGGAGTTATGATTAGATCCTAATCAGTCTAGGAAATTCAACACTGGAACTCAGGAGATCTCAAATGTGACTCCCATAATATCTCCATCTTTGGCTTTTGGCATCTTGTGATCACCAGCTATTCTGGTGCTGTTTGGGATGCACTGTGCTCAATAAAAACGGTGTGCTGTACTAAGGTGATGAAACATTCTGAACCCACTGCACCTTCAGGGCAGCAGTGTCAGCTAGCTAAGAGCAGGACTACATGAACAGCTGCATCCCACTGTATATCTGTTAGCCACAAAGAATCACAGAATCACACAGAATATTCAAGGTTGGAAGAGACCTCTAGAGATCATCTAGTCCAACCTTCGTGAACAATCTTTACTCAGTATTTGCACAGGTTGGCAGAATAGCTTCTTGTTCTTCACAGACTCCCATCTAGTTTCTACTGTAATAGAAGTTGCCATTCTTTTGGTTTCTGAGGCATCAACTCAGGCAGAATTCGACTCAAGTGACTCATTTTGGGCTGTCATTCACATATTACATTTAAGTCTGTTTTAAAACAAGTCTGTTTTTCTCTGCAAGCGCACAGTATTGGATTAATAAAAAAGATGCATTTTTCTTGGAGTTTGTAAGTAATATTTCTTGGCATGACTGGGCTTCTAAATACAGCCACCACTAAAAAACTGGCGTTAGGCTCCAAAAGTGGAAACTGCCACTGAATTGCTACAGGACATCAAATACATTTCTACAAGGTTTAAATATATTATTGATCATTTGTTAAAATCCTTTAAAATATCTGTCTGGTTTAGAATAATATAGTTCAATGAAATATGAAGCAAGTAGCACCGCAAGATTTTAAGATGTGGTGATGCCTTTCTTTACTTGTTCTAACAGTAAGTTTCCAAGTCCAAATACATTGCCTAAGCTTGTATCACTTATTTGATCGTCATGTTACTTCTTTCTTGCTGTTTAGTCACTTACATGAACTGCAACGTGAAATACCAAGACGAACATTTCTCTTTACTTTGATGTGACAGAAGTTTGGCTTCCAACTGAGCAACCCCTCCTCCCCATATGAGTGCAGTATATGTAAGTACAGAGAAGGCAGCTGAGGATGCATTTGCCAAATGGAGAACACAGGGAATACTCCAAAGCAAGTGCTTGAAAGAGCACACGTCCAGTTAAAGTCATCTAAAATGTGTACAATATGAAGCATGGAAGACTGCCAAATCACTTGTCTCAGGCCAAAACTGTTCAAAGGAGAGGTTGGGGAAGGCCTCTGATATACCAAGCTAACTGAAGCCATTTTTGTGTTAAGAGGTGACTTCAGAAATTGCTCTGCCAATGATATTTACTGGTTGGTAACAACATTTTAGATAATATAATATAATATAATATAATATAATATAATATAATATAATATAATATAATATAATATAATATAATATAATATAATATAATATAATATAATATATTTAGATAATATAAATATATCTTCTAACCTGATAAAATGATTGGAAGTAATACAGAAATCAATGGAAAAGAGTGCATATGGCATGAAGATCAAGTGGACTTCTGTGAAATCTAATGCAGTTAAACCACCGTTTCTTAAAATCTTCCATTTCCACCTTCTTCCAACAGTATATTCATGACATGCTCACAAAAAGGCCCAAGTCTGTCTCTTCAGATTTGCAGTCTTCCTCTTGCTCTTAAAGGCTTTCAGGATCGCCCTTACTCTAGGCCATGCCGCTGCATTCCACTTTTCTTAAATCTAGCTTCTAGGGAAATTTCCATTTCCCTCACTTTTCTGAAATCTAGCTTCCCTATAGTTTTCCTGTGTTTACCTTCTTCTCTTGATACTTGCACATAGACCTTTGACCTTCCTAAGCCATTTGTTAGAGCTGATCATTTCTCATGAATGCTGTATTTTTTAATCATAAACACTCAATTTTATGTTACATTTCATTGGAAGTCTACTCTTACTCTATGCATGTACACTCTGTCTTGCACAGAAGTAAACCTGCTTGGTGTCCCAAATGCTACAACGAATGTGAAGATGATAGCCTGATGCTCCAAAAAGCTATGTGTAGGTAATTTAGGAAAGGGCTGCTTACAGATTTATCATTTCCTCTGGTACTTCTGAATTCTCCTTTCACAGCTTAACTTTCCAAATGCAAAACACAGTTGATCAAACATCTGGGGAATCATCTAATCAGAGATGTGATTTGGTATGCAGCATAAGCTGCAGAATTACTTGGCCATCTTTGGTTGCTCCCATCCCATGAACAAACTGCTTAAGAGAGGAAATATCTCTGGAAGGAGAAAGCAGATCCTAAACACGTGCAACTGGCAAGCTATAAAAGGTCATATGCGAAATTTTTCTTTATGTCTTACAATTCCATTACATTAAACCAAAAATAAAAAAGAAGAGAAGAGAAGAGAAGAGAAGAGAAGAGAAGAGAAGAGAAGAGAAGAGAAGAGAAGAGAAGAGAAGAGAAGAGAAGAGAAGAGAAGAGAAG